GCTGGTGTGACTAGCCCATGCAAACAGCAAAGTGAGGTCCCTGCTGGAGGTCTCACAGTTCCTGTTAGGAAAATGCAACAGATATACCTGAGAGGTAGCCAGGTGAGAGAGAGAGGTAGGAGGAAATGGTGACAAGTTGTCTTAGCTGTAACTGCAAATTCTTCTCCTCTTTTCCTTGTAAAATGTGAATAGTACAAAAAAAGAGGGGTGAGAGTGCACAAATCGTAAGCCATGGTGACATCCACAAGCTTATGGAGGGCGCTGCATGTAAGGTTTCTTTGCTGCCCCACAAACGCACGTGTGGATGTAGTGCTGAGCAATATAACTAACATGTTCTTCTTCTTTCAGGCAAAGGGCCGAATTGTGGTGGTGCCAGGTGATGTTTTTTTGTCATCTGTAACAGGTCCTGTAGTCCCTAGTCCCTGCTTCCTAGCCTCTTGCCCTGGGATGTGCTGTCTGATCTGGCTTTCTAAGCCAGCTCCCCAGGAGGAGGAACTCCTGTCCGGGTGCGAGTAAAGGCCACGCGGCCAGCTGGGGGTGGCAGAGCCCTGCAGCTGGTGCTCACTGGAGGATTTGGGGACATCTCTAGATCGATGGGAGAGCATGAGCCAAGGTTTCTCCCGTCTCTTTTCTGCCTGGCTCTCCGTTTTCCCAAGGGCTATCTTTTCCCTTCAGTGTAGATGGCGCTTGTCCCTTGGGGAGTAGGTCCCGGGGTGATGTCAGGTCTGGGACAGTGCCATCTGCGCTGTGTGTGACATTGGGATTCTTCCCACCAGGGGGTGGCATCACGGAGCGCAACCTGCAGAGGATTCTGGAAGGCTCCACGGCTTCTGAATTTCACTGCTCTGCTCGCTCAGCCCGGGACTCAGGGATGAAGTTCAGGTAACTGATTATTTATTTTTATTTTTTAGAAAAACTATACAAGGGAAAAGCTGGATTAATGTGAACATGAATTTGTAGAACAGGCATAAATTTCAAACGGCTTCCTGGGTGCTAATTGCACTCTTGTGGGTGGGATCGTGATGCCTGGCTCTGTATTCTACAGTGTATGAATCCAGCGGTGCTCATCATTTGGACACAAGCTCCATGCAGAACCAGATCCTTGGGGCGTTTCTTCTGCTACTCCTGCCCTAGGGCTTGTGAGTGCACTGGTGTGGCACTCGGGAAGGCGAGTTCTGGTGTAGTTGCCTTAGACCTTTAACACAAGCGTGTTGGATTTGGGAGGCCAGTGGGATGTGCCTCTGAGGAATGAGTGAGGCATGGCTTACATTTGTCCACAGGTCTATACTGGGTTTCTGTTGATGTTGTTTCTTGCCTTTGGATTATTATTCGTTCTATTACTGTCTCATCTTTGATTTGGGTGGCACCAGCAGGTTCTCTGGCCATTGCTGAGACTAGGGGAGATAGCACGTTTTTCTTAATGTGTCTTACTCATCTATATCACCTGCAGATAGTAACCAGTGGTTTTCCTGACAGAAATCCGAACGTTGCCATGGGAGCATCCTTCTCTGCCCCTGAATACTCCATAAAGGTGGCAGATGTGGCCAAAGTGAGGACCCTGAACGCCATCGCAAAGAACATTCTGTAGTGGAAGGCACCATGCTGGGACAAGAGCTCCAAGACTCCAGGGTCTTCCCTGCCACATGGACAGACGGGTACTGCTTCCGTCCTCAGGCTGCAGAGGATGTGAACTAGGTGATGAAGCCTGACATCTCTTCCCTTGGCTTCCCCTGAATGACCAGTCCCTGGCCTGGAAACTTATGTAGGCCATTTTAAATAAAAGGACTCGTTCCCCGATGTTGCGGTAACAAGCTTTTCGGCAGTATTTGGGAGGAAGGGAGCTGAGCAAGTAGGGGGACTGAATTGTGTAGCACTGCATGTGATTGTCAAATAAACACTGCAGCTGCCCCCCTCTTGCTGTGCTTTTTTAAAGTTTATTTGTATTTTTCAGGTATGAATGTGATATGTGTTGCATAGCTTGAATTAATCAGGCCTCTGCTGTGCCAGAGGAGAATACAATCACATCCAGAATGCCAGGGAAGGAAACATAGCCACAGCTGGAAAACAAGGCCTGCTGTGGTCAGCCAGTAGGATAACTGGGGATTAGCAACGCAGCAGCTGCTGGGTAGAGAGAAGCACATTGATACATAGAGGTGATGAATGCATTAAGTTCTAATGAGAAGGAGCTTCTAACTACCTGACTGACTAGGTGAGGTATTTGTGAGGTATCCTGGGCTGTAAGTGCTTGAGGTGGGGTGGGCGTATGATGAGATTCCTTGGGCGAACAAGGTGCTTTTTGTCAGGGAGTTTCCAGGTCCTTTTCCCAACATGAAGTACAAACTGCTTGTTCTCCAGACAGTGCTCAAGGGAATTTGCCTGTTGGGTTATTGCTGCCTAGTCAGAATTGAAGCCTTAGACTCATTTCAGCTACCCTGCAGAATACCCAATGGAAGCTCTGAATGGCATTGGAGTAGTCCATTAAAAGAGTAGAGACCCAGAGATAAAGCACCTTTATTCTCGCTGCCTGCTCCTCTCTGAAAGATCCACAAAGCTGAAGAGAATCCCCCTGACAGCAGAGATAGTAGACCTTCTTAGGAAGCAAAAAACATGGTTCAGGTTTGTCTGCCCATCTTGCCAATAGTGTATAGCCTGTGAGGATGTACAGGAAAATGTAGTATTTGTCAAAGGGACAGCACCTTTTGTCACCTTAAACAGAATCAGGTCATTGAAAACCTATAACCAAGATTAACTATGCATCTTCAGCTCAAAGGGTACATCCACCTTTTCACATGGATCCATCAGAGGTATCAGCGTCTCCCAAAACACACCTTGGGATCATATGTGGTAGTTCTCAACATAGGAGCTGGGAAAGGAATGGCTGCTTAGTGCTGGTGTCAGAGCCTGTTTCAGCACTGACGTGTGCGGGCAGCAGGGAGGATCCAAACTCAGAAGAAGAAATGATTAAATTTGTGGTTATAGTCAATGTAGTTCAGAATACCTGATTTAGGTATTCATGGCTTATGTTGTGAGATTTCATGAGTCATAGTGATGATTAAGATACCGGTAGCTCAACATCAATATTCTGCTGACACAGCCCCACTACCCCCGCATCATAAACACAGAGTTTGGTTCTTTCCATTTGTGTAAAGTTTTTATTAAAAAAAAAAAAAAGCTTTTGAGCTCATGTGGGGTTACAGCATAACAAGCAGAGAAACAAACCCTTCAGAAACAGATGAGCAGTGAGGGCTGGACTAACTTGTAGATTGCCTTGCAGAAGCCTCTGTCCTGGATCAGACCCTGTGAGACTGGCATGAAGCAATGCCTAATTTTGAAACTTTATAAGATGGTGGACAACAGATGGGTAAAGGCAGGGGAGCACAGGGAAGTGGTGTGGTATTGTTGGCCAAAGAGTTCTTACAGGTTTGATTAGCTTGATGCCAGTGAACATTTTCTGGGTATTGTAGTGAAGGAAGTCTTATGGAAGGAGCTGAAGGACAGTGAGGTGGCTTTGTGGGTTTTTAGGAGGAACATGTCCCAGGTATAGGGTAGAGAAAGTGGGGGTGTGCTTGCTTTGATCATTAAAGACATCTGGCATCCTGTGCTGAGCAAAGCACTTCAGCTCTGAAGGAGAGACTGAAAACGGGGTGAGGATGGGCTGTGACACATACTGAAAATCGAGACAAGCGATGGGACAGAGCATAAAATAGGAGGGTGTCACAAACAAGTGGTCCTCTTGGCAGAAGCGCTCCAGGTGCGTATGAACAAGGCCAGAGGATACCTGTGCCAGCAAGCACAAAGGACAATCATGTCAGCACTCTGGATAGGGAAGGGCTGCAGGAGTGACTGCTCCATTCACTTGTTTCTTATCTGTTGTATCAGATTGCTGCTCTCATCAGCAGTGTATTGGTTCCGTCCTGAGGATCTAGCACTAGGGGTAGCTTTGTTTACAAAAACCAGTGGATTTAATCAGACAAGCCAATAATAATTAACCAATGAGTTGAACATTGGCCTTTTCTCTGATATTCATGGTAAAGGGGTTGTTCCTGAGCAATTACTCATTATATCGCCCTTGACTTCTGAGCTATTTTCTAACTCCAGGAACAATGAGACAGCAGAATCCTTGCAGTCGCCCTACCATCCCGTTTCACCTACTGCTCCCCAAAAGCATGCATGATAAAGCAAATTTGGTTCCAGCCTTAGAGTAGCCTGTCCCCAAACCTCCACCTTTCTAAGCAGCACGGTGATGATTTAGTGGCAGTCACCCTCCTCAGGAATGGTCAGCCAGCTGCTGTAACATGGAGACATGTTACAGAGATGCAGGAAAGGGAGAAGCAAAAGGAAGAGCTGGGAAAGTCTCCAGGCTCTGCAGGCCAGAAGAAGTTGGTGAAAGGAACCCAGATCCTGGGGACTCAGAAAGACTGCTGCAGCATGTGATCAGCTCAGCTGGTGGATGCTGCAAGATCCCAGGCCTTGAGCACTGCTCGTGTCCTGGACCTCCTTGCTGGGTGGCACCCGAGAAAAAGGGTACTGTCTTCTTTGGCTCTTGAGGGACCAGCCTTTGCTGGACTTTTTGGCAGCATGCTGCAGGCTTATTGTGGCAGGAGAGGTCTGTTGCACCAAAGTAGTGTCTTCAGTGGGTCCATAAGAGCTTGCCTCTGTTGGTGTGCACTGATGAAGACCATGGTTTCTAAGCAATGGCTGTGGTGTCCTACAGTGACTCTATGACAGTGGCTTCCCTGCATCTCCCATTTGATCTCTTTCTTGGGTCTTCCTCTCCTCCCTTCCCCTGAGCCCATGGAGTTTCCAAAGCCCTTTTGGTCACTGCTTTGGTCTGTGGTGTTGTGCAATATCACAAGTTAACAATTAACTGTGTGTCATCAGAGTTTTTGTCCCAACACCACTTGAGGGTGTGTGGGGACTTTTGTTCCAAGCATCAGCCCGGGAGTCTCACAGATAGGCAGAGCGAGGGGAAGGAGCTGCCGTCTCTTCTCCCCTGAGCCATGTCGACAGCCCTGGAGGAGTTCTGCGGCTCCATCTTTTGGGTGAGTGGCTGCATCACCCCCATTGCCCGTTCTTGGGGTAGGATGCTCAGTGGAAGGGTAGAGTAGTAGATCCCAAGGCTCACAACTTGTTTGGGCACTGGGACCCAATGGCCAGTGGTCAGCAGAGGTTCTGGTATTTACCTAGGACTGCCATGGCACTGAGCGCTGTGCACTGTCTGCATGGTATCCTCGAGGCAACGATGCAAATGACAATTTCCTGAGTGAACCCTGTCCTGTTTTAGCCCTGCAGCCCAGCTGGGAACACAGGACACCCTGCATGGACCTCTCGGGGAAAAATTTGGGTCTAGCAGCTGCAGCTGGCTTGCCTGCAGCAAGGGGGGGGTGTGGGGGGAGCC